TCTCCTCTTGGGATCTTGGGCATGCACGCACATGCGCCCGACATGAATTTAAGCCACTGGGTCTGGGACTCGAACTACAGTCAACTACATGGGAGTCCAGCAACATAGCCATTGCGCCAGCTGCTGGTCTCAATTTCTCACTTTCTGTCTCTGTCTCTCTCTGTGTTTCCAGTGAGTGCATGTGTCCTATAGACAAAATGTCTCTAACACACACACACAAACAAGAGGCTAGCAGGTGGCATGGTGGTTGGGGCACTGGACTCCCACATGGCCAACTGCAGTTCAAATCCTGGACCTGATGACTTGTTTTCTCACTTTCCCTCTCCTCTTTCTAATCAAATTATATAAATAATTAATAAAATTAAATAACTCAAATTTTAAAGAAAGAAAAAAACACAGAGGGCCAGCATATGGCACAGCAGCTTAAGGTGTTGGATTTCCACATGGTTGACCATGGTTTGAATCCCAGACCCGGTGGCTTGAAAATCATGCCGGGCATATGTACATATGTGCTAAAAATCCCAAGAGAAAAATGGAGGGGAATGATTTCTCATTTTCTCTCTTCTGTCTCTCTGTGGCAAGTGCATGTGCCCTATGGCAATTTTAAAATTTTTTTTAAAAAGAAAGAACACAAAGCCACAACCAAAGTATACAGGAGGGGTAGAAGAACCTAGACATGATTTATAAGCTACTAGGTTGTCAGAAAAGTCATGACATAGTTTTGAATAAAAAACAGAAAAATATGGGACTAGCAGTTGGCATAATGGCTATGTTGCTGAACTTCCATGTAGTCGACCACAGTTCGAGTCCCAGACCCAGTGTTTAAACGCCTGCCAGGGGAGTATGCATGTGTGCCCAAGATCCCGAGAGGAGAGTGGAGAAGGGATTGTGGTGTGGCCATCCCCCCCAGGGGGGGATTTCTCGCTTTCTGTCTCTCTCTTTCTGGCAAGCGCACACGCCTTCTAGCAAAAATCTCTCCAAAAAATCCTCTCACCAGAAAGACAGACAGAGAGACAGAAAGTGATAAATCACCCCCCAGGGGGGATGGCCATGCTGCAATCCCTTCTCCTCCATTCTCTTCTCCAGATCTTGGGCAAGCATGCATATGCACCCAGCGTGAGTTTAAGCCACTGGGTCTGAGACTCGAACCGTAGTCGACTACATGGGAGTCCAGCGACATAGCTCTTATGCCAACTGCTGGTCCCAATTTTTCATGACGACGTAATAACTGCTTATTTGTCAGGAAAGACAGAAGAGGAACTTGGTACACAAATCTCTCTTCAGACAGAGTTAAACAATCTCTTCTCCGTACTCCCATAGTGTCTTATGCACGTATCTACTAAAATGTTTATTACATTATAACACATATTATTTACTTGTCCTTTTCCTTCTATTTCCATGAGATACTTAAAAGAAGTGACTGGACGAGACTAGCAGATGGTGTAACAGTTACATCACTGGACTCATACATGGCTAACTGTGGTTTGATTCCCAGACCCAGTAGCTTGAAAATCATGCTGGGCACATGTGCGTGAGTGCCCAGAATCCTGAGAGGAGAAGGGATAAGAAGAGACTGCAGCATGGCCATCCCCTCTTCCCCTTTAGGGGGTGATTTCTCACTTTCTCTCTCGTGTCTTTGTCTCTCTCTCTTTACCCCACCTTTCCCAAGCGAGTGTGCATACCCTAAGGCAAAAACCTCTTAAAAAAAAAAAAAAGTGACTGGTTTTTGTTTCCTGTGTATTTGTTAGTTTTCATTCTTTTAGGTTGTAGCCATAGGGAACATGTGTTCATCAAAGACAAGAGAGACAGAGAAAGAGAACATGAGAAATCACCTCCTGGGGAGGTGGCCACACTACAATCCCTTCTTCATTCTTCTCTTGGATTTTGGGCACACATGCACATGCACCTGGCGTAATATTTTTAAGCTGCTGGCTCCAGGATTCAAACCATGGTCAGCCATGTGGGAATCCATCCGCCTTAACCACCACACCACCTACTGGCCCTGTGACTGTTTTTTTGTTTTTGATTTTTAGTTTGTTGAGTCTTATTCTGTGTCCTATCATATGGTCTCTCCTAGAGAATGTTCCATGAAGACAGTTAAGACTGTGTATTCCATAGCTGTTAAATTAAATGTTATAAAGTTTGTCAGGCCTATTTGCTCTATAGCACAGTATAAATCCAATGTCTTTGTTGATTTTCTGTCTGGATTAACTTTTCAATGCTGAAAGTGGAGTGTTAGTTGTTTTTGGTTTTTAATTTTGCTGTATGGCCCATGCACTTATTCAGAGGACAGAAGGAAAAGAGGAGAAACTGAAAAAGCATCCCTCAGGGAGATGACCCCAGGGGTCTGGAACAGCAAATATTGAGGGGAACATCTATCAACCACTACCTCAGTCTCCACATAGTGGGGGAAAACTGCACACTAATCCCACAGGAAGGGAAAAGAATAGAAGGAACACCTGTAAGCTCCACTCCCACATTTGCATTTTCCCCTGGGAGCATAAGTGACTTGGGAGAAAGGACTGTCTGTCCACCTGTGATTCAACCCTTCAGAGTTTTAATTTGGAACAGGCCATCTTCAGAAAAAAGAAAATGTCTGCTTATCTATACAGAAAGTTTGCCAGGCTAGACTCTCCTAATGTTAGAAGGTCTCCATTTCAGTGTTAAGTTCAATTCAGGGAGAGTATTATAGAACCCAAATTCAAAGTTAATAGCAATGGGGCTAGCAGATGGTGTGGTGGTTGAGGGTGCTGGACTCACATGGCCGACTGTAGTTCAAGTCCCAGACCAGATGGCTTGCTTTCTCACTTTCTGTCTCTTTCTCTCTGTCTCTCTCACTCTGGTCAAATTAAAATAAATAAATAAATAAAGTTAAATAAAATAATGCTTTAAAAATAAAAAAGTTAAAATAAAAAAAAGCAATGAAATTAATATTTTGACTTCCATTCATCTTATGCTTGTATATATATATATTTTTTTTTGGAGAGGTTTTCACTATAGGGCGCATGCGCTCAGCAGACAGACAGAGAGAGACATAGAGACAGAAAGCGAGAAATCACCCCCCAGGGGGGATGGTCACGCCGCAATCCCTTCTCCTCCATTCTCCTCTCGGGATCTTGGGCACGCATGCACACGCGCCTGGCGTGAGTTTTTTTAAGCCACCAGGTCTGGGACACGAACCGCGGTCAACTATGTGGGAGTCCAGCGACATAGCCATTACGCTAACTGCTGGTCCCTGTATTTTATTTTTAATTGGTTCCAAATCTGGGAAGGCAAAGTAAGCAGTGCTACTTACTAGCCTTTCTCAAATCCC